GTCCTCAGTGCAAGTCTGCAAGATGGCCACTGGAGGAGATCATATTCAGCCAGTGATTTTAGGTTTGTATTCTTGATACATATTATTGTGTGTGTTATATACTAGTTCTATTAACAGGTATTAAAGATCTAAATGATGTTATCAGTAAATTGGAGAAGAATGATTTTTCAGAGGACAGATGGAATGAGCTAGGTCTTAAGCTACACATCAGTCAGCCAAAGCTCAATTCAGTTAAAGCTGATAATCCTCTTGATGTGAAAGCATGTCTTAGAGGGTGTCTAGTTCTTTGGCTCCAGCAGAGTTATGATATTTATAAGTATGGTCTACCCACATTGGAGCTATTAGCAACTGCTATTGAAGAGATGGAATTGAGAGCTGTAGCTGCAGGAATCAATCAGGGAAGCACTCAGTCACAAAGTTTGTACTAAAAGTTTTTATTTAATAATATACAACATTTCTATTTAGTACAATCACCAAAAGAAATTAAGCACATCATTGAAGAATATTCTTCAAATTATATTAAAAAATTGAATGGAGATTTTGCACTATTTAAGGCCCGTTTCCTTGGTCGACTTTCAAAGCATGTGAAAAATGGTGTGATAGAGCTTATTGAAATGGCACGATTTGTTGGAGAGATAACAAAGGTTGAAGGTCTAGCAAGTGCAGCTTCTGTTGATGATTTGTTTGATTCAATTAAAGATCACTACTCTTATCTCAATTGTGAACACATAGAAACCATTGTTACTTATTTTCTAACTGATAAGGACCAGGACTTAAAGGACAAAATGGAAGCATATAAAAGAGATCTTGACAATTTTGAAAAAACCATAAAGCTAAAACAACTTGAAAAGGCTTTAAATAGCGTGCGTTCAACACATTCTCATTCATCTTGTAAAGTTATCATCAAATTAGTAGGCGAATGGGAAAATAAAACTCTTGCTACACTTAAAGATTTTTTGGTACATTACTTTAAAAAAGATTCTCTTTTCAATCTGAGCAGAGTCGAAGGTGGATGCTTAAGTGTGACATTCCTAGTACCTCTTTCTTTTTCTCAGTATCTTATTGATACTGCAACTCCACAACTTAAGTCCATGTCTCGTGTTGGTGTACTTCAACTGGTGATAACTGATGTTGAGCTTCTTGA